AGATCCGAAAATGCTTAAAGATCTAAAGATCCGAAAATGCTTAAAGATCTCGAGATCCGAACTAAACTGATTTTTTAGTTATTTATAGGAGATTAAGGGGTGCAACCGTCCCCTTAATTCGCTCCTAAGTGGGGCTGAATGGGGTATAACCGTCTCCTTAATCTGCTCCTAAGTGGAGCGGAAATCCCTCAAATCGTGGGGAGAAAATGATTTCTGGAACCGTTCAACTCGTGTTTGAACGAGTCAAACGCAGGTCTTACGTTCGGGAATGAAATCTGTGTTTGAACGCAGTGTTTGCAAGCTACGCTGGGCAACAGATGGAAACTGTGTTGGCAACAGTTAGAAGCTATGTTGGCAGTAGTTAGAAGCTGTGTTGGCAGCGTTTAATAGCTGCATTTGTAGCGTCTGGGAGCTATGTTTGGAAGCTGAAGACGCACAAGTTGCGTTGCTTTGACTTTGGAACACAGCCGTAAGCTTTACGTTTTAAGCTGAGAATGCGACCACGAGCTCTGTATTTGGAGCTTGAGATGCGGGTCTGACCCTTGCATTCTGATTTTGGAACGCCGAGAGGACCTCTGTGTTTTGGTCTTGGAACGCAGGGAGGACCTCTGTGTTCTAATTTAGCTCCTTGACGTATGAGAGTCGTCAGATTGTAATCTTCACTTTAGCTCCTTGACGTACGAGAGTCGTCAGATTGTAACACCTGATGTTGATTGTGAAGGCTATTGAATTAGAGCTTTCATCAATTGTTGTGAAGATCGTCAGATTGTAACATTCATCGCTCTACGTGAAAGTCTTCAAATTGTAGTCTTCTAGAAACCGTCAAATTGTAACTTTCGTCATTGGTGTTTGATGGGGATCAGCTATCTGTAGTAATTTTTAGACAGCCTACATTTAGCTACATTCAATGTATCAACATCTCCATCACCACCATCCTCCGCATCTCCACCAACCTCCACATCTCCACCATCCCCCTCCTCTCCTACTACAACATCATTTTCACCTTCGCCTACATCTCTATCATCCTCCTCATGGCCCTCATCATCATCGCTGCCATCACTATCATCCCCGTCATCCTCATCTCCTCCATCACTATTAACGTCCTCTTGCTTTCCACCAAATATATCCCTCTTCATCTTCAAGAGAAGGTCTAATTCCGCTTTCTTTTCCTGCATGAGCCAATCCAAATCAACTTCAGTGATTACCTGCATATAAATAACCCAAATACAATTAAATTCATGGTGCTTTTAACTAACTAAAAATATGCAGAGAAACCTAAGCATGATAATTGGAAAAGTAACACTAGTTCTCATGTCTTGAATCAACCAAGCAAAAGCATTATACCTTTCCCTTGAATTTTGTAGGGGCAACTTCAGTGGTAATGGCTATAGTGATAGTGGTAGCTTTAGCAATCCTCTTTTCAAAATTTAGAGCCCTCGAGTTGTTATTATGCTTCCTAAAATTAACAGGGTCTCTACCTAAATCATGTACTGCATTCCTCCGTAAAGATCTCGGACACTTGTAGAAGCTTAGGATGGGTGGTAGGGATTCAGCTCCTACACGAAGGCTCAACTTTCCCACAAGCTCATAAAACTAAATCTATGAAAAAGTTAAAAATTTTAGCTCAATAATAAATATGACTAAATGACATAAATATATAAAATGGAGAATGACATAAATATATAAAAGGTTAACTTACCACCAAAACCAAGGAAAAACCCCCCATATAACCACCTCTAGATCGATTTCCCTCAAACCTCTTAGTGATGGTCTTCTTAGTCTTATTCATCTTAGTATGCAACACACATCATACACTACTTTAGCCCAATTGTACTCCTTAAAAGTATCCAATTTCTCAGCATATCTAAATGCAAACAAGGGACAACCCATATTAGCTTGAGGGCATAATATAAATCCTATAATGAAAGCCACGAGCATCTGTGGCAAAAGAGGATTTCTACGCTCAGCCATCTCCTCGATAAGTTCACCCATCCTATCACTTCTAGCACACACAATCTTCTTCTTACCCTCATCACTTTTCTTCTTTGCTCTTCTAATCTTACACTTCATATCCTCCTCAATTTCAGTTTTAGTCCTAAATGAAAACACGAGCTTGTAGATTGTCTCGTGATCACTTCTATGAACCTCGTATCTACTATAGATCCTCACATCAGAAGACCTGTAATTCTCCCAACATCTTCAACACCAAAGGAGGTCTATTTTCCTCTAATTTTGAAACTACTTTTTTCAACATTAAGTACTTCTAACAAACAATCCACTAGAAGTGGTTGCATTGGAACGCCAGGAACATCCAAATAGCCATAGAATGAAGTATCTCGAAGGGTTGTCCGATGATCCTCCGACAATGTAGAAGAAATACGATTTTGAAGAATGTCCCGAAAGTAGCCAACGTTTGATTGAATTCTCACTAAATCCATAATGTATGATTTTCTGCAACCAAAGTAAAACATAAGCTAACTTTAGTTGTCTATCAATATATACATTTTTTTCTTTATTAAAACAAACTGCAAAGACTGAAAAATATGAAATAAATCTATTGCTATCTCCCCTATTTAATAACACAAACAAAGCCTTGATGCAATGATAACATTACTGTACTTCAAATACATCTTGCAAGAAAAACTACACTGAGACAGTCGATTTATAGGTCTGAACTTGAGGAGATAACAAGGTACTTAATTCGGGTTTTATCAAACATTTTCAAAATATAAGGCCAATGACAGGAAGTTTTATTTGAATAAAAAGATATCATTTTCAAATGAAACCTGAGGAGATAAACAGGTTCAAAGCTATCATTCCCCTAGAAAAAAGGCCGAATAATAGGAAGTTTCATTTGAATAATTGGATAAGTACATTTCATAATGAAACTTTTAATTGGATAAGTACATTTCAATATTAAGCAACTTTAAAACTTTTAATTCTTCAGAAGAACAACATAACTAACTACTACTTGTCATTTCTTCAATCCTTTAACCTTTTGATTACCAGCATTCATTAGTAAAAATCTTATACACTTTACAAAGACGGACATAACCACAAAAGATCAATGCCTTTCTACAGAACTTTCATTTGGAGGAGAGACAACTACAACTTGCTATTTTGGCATAGCCACAGTAACAGTATCACCCCTCCCTCTCATCGGTGATGTTCACAAAGTAATTGCAAAATGTGATCATGATCACAATCATAGATGATTTCTTTGACTTTAAGGCTTCACCCCCCCTAATTACAGTAGCAAAAAATTGTCTCAATGGAGCTCACCAACACAGAAGGCGTCGACGAGAGCTGAGAACGGACACGAGACGGCGACGGACATGAGGCAACGACGGAGACGACAACGACTGCGAGGGTGAGCTCACCAGCACAGGAGGCGACTACGAGGGCGATCGATATCACGGCGACAGCAACGGCGACAGACATAACATTGGTCACTGTGAGGGCGAGCTCACTGTGACTACGAGCGCGAGCTCACGACGACAGCGACGAGTGATGGCAACAACAACGGCGATGGACACGAGAAGGGGGAAATTGGGTTTTTCAGTTAGGGCCCAGAGATGAAAAGAGGGAAGATGAGGAGAGAGAGAGAGAGAGAGAGAGAGAGAGAGAGAGAGAGAGAGAGAGAGAGAGAGGGGGGAGGGATATTTTTAGGGCTGGGCATATTCGGTTCGGATCGGTTTTAAGCTCAATCCGCATCCAATCCGAATTTTTCGAATTCTCAAAACTCTCATCCAGATCCAGATTTTTTTCACTTCATCCGAATATTCGGCCCAACCGAAATTCGGATCGGTTTCGGTTTTGGACCGAATTAATACTATTTCACAAAAATCTGCTCACACCTGAGATCATTGCCTATTAATTTCTGATGAAGTATCATTATTTGTCCATTTTGTCTACTTAACTTTTTTCCCCAAACAATGAAATGTGGAGCTTGTTTGAAGTAACATCATTGCCACAGCTAACAAAAAACCGAAATCAGTGAAATGAGCGCAAACCATATCAACAAGTACATATGGTTACGTAACATTCAAATATTAATTAACTATAATCAAAAGGTTATCTTTCATTTCTTAGAAAATAACTTAACATGCCTCTAGTAGAATTTGAAAGCTTATATGAGATTTCACCGATTTTAATGCGGGCATATACGCTAGCAGACCCAATGAAAAAGGAACTATACAATATAAACATGTAAGTAAACATAACAATCAAATTACCGAGCAATTATATAGCTTAATGTTCAAGTGATGACTCACTAATAAGAAAGCTATTACATCCGACGTCGTCCGAACCAAAAGTCCATTTCATTTTGACCGAATTCCGAACGATGAAGTCCTTCCCATTTTGAGCAATATGAATATCCGACAAAGAACGAATTAGAAAATTCGGTTCGGTTTTTTTTCGGGCGGTTCAGGGGTTCAAACCGGATCCAAACTGGTTTAATTCGGTTCGGACGGTTTAGAGTCTTCTTCTCATTCATTTAATCTGGTTCGGTTAACCGGCCCGCTTTTTCGGGCGATTTTTTCGGTTGAACCGGTTTTTTTTTGTTTTTGCCCACCCCTAGATATTTTGGGGGTTTTACCATGTTTGTGTATAACTACAAGGCCTACTGTATCTTGGAAATTGGGTTTTAAAAAAATTAGGTTGAAGAATGTAAGCAATAGTGATTGGGTTTTGAGGTAAAGTTGAGTAAACAAATGGGACTAGTATAACCAACCCCCCACCCCACCCCAAAAAAAGAGGAATATAAGTAGGGAACACCTTCTCTTTTCATTAGACAATGAACCCGTTTTCATTTGTACACAGACGACTGAGGCATGAGATGCACATGATCTCTCCGTTCCCTGTTCAATAATTTCAATGGAAAAAAATATCTCCAGCCAATCAAACTATAGGTCTTCTTGGAGAATCTAAACAATTCGTCCCCGTGATGGTTTCTTGAAACTCTGGCGTTTTAACAACTACTGCATAGCAGAGCAGAGTGATCAACAAGGAATACTTCCTCTAATCGTTACGAAATGAACAGATCGATTTCATTTATACACAAACCGCGCACGGAACAAACACGATCTCTCCCTCCTCTCTTAAAAAAATGTCAATAATAATAATAATAATAATAATAAACTCGTCGTGTACCAATCAATCAAATATTCAAGCGAACCAGCTGAGAGGCTGATCCGAGTACGTTGCTAGGCCTCTGGGGATGAAGAGGAGGTTTGCTGGCCAACGAGCAACTCCTCGCTGCACCCGTCGAAGAAGAGAGGGGGCCCTTCGGAGCTTTCTTCGTGATCATTCTCCTGTTGCAGCACTTCAGACTCAACAACGATCTGTTGCTGTTTAGTCGCTCTCCGCAACTCTTCGATGTTTTCAGCTTCTTTAACGCCCTCCTCTCGGGCTTGACAAGGTCCTCGAAGGACTTTATATCTGAGAATGATGCGAAAGATTGGGACTCCCCTTGGTAAAACTTTGATAGCCCTCTCCTATATATACAAAAATAGATAAATATAAATAAACAAATAAAAATAGGAGTTCAGTATAAAATGGATCGATATGCATCTTCATTCTCGAAGTAAAGTCACATCAGATGCTAACCAACTAATATGGTATTCCTGTCCGGATCAAATTGGGGTCCAAGTTGTCCCCTCAAATGAATGGCAACATGAACATGGCAACATTCACGGTCTACGGACACGTTTAAGGGCCCGTTTGTTTGCAAAAATTGGAGGGGAAAGCGGGGAAAAGCTCGTAAAAGTTCTAAAAAATTAAGTCAAAAATTTTGCAGGCTTTCTTACAAAATCGCTCCAAATTACTTTTGCATAATAGTCCCAATTTGGGGCAATTTTACAAGAAAGCCGGTAAAATTTCTGATTTTTTTTAGAATTTTTACCGGCTTTCCCCCTTCAATTTTTGCATCCAAACGGGCCCTAATTTCGATGGCACATATATGTCTCTAGATTTTAAATATGATGTTCCGTCGACCGAGGTGATTGGTTGGATCCCGTGCCGGAAATTGAACTTGTAACAACAATAACAAAACCACTAGAGAGGAAGACCTAATAATTCCGCGATTTAATTTTCGGACTCACTTGAAAGGAAGTTGCTCCTCGAGGGCAGACATCTCGAACAGGGGCCCCCCGCAAGATGACGGGGGGGAGGAAGCCGCATCGTCCGTCAAGTCGGATGATGAAGCGGACGATCCTATCGAGTTCTCCGATGAGCTCGCCGACAGCGAAGAAAAAGAACATCCAATCAGGCTCTCTTCCTCTTCGTCCACGGCCCGGTTCTCTCTCTTTTGGATGGGGGCAGCCTCCATTTTCAAGCTAGCGTACGATGGTGGTATATTAGAGCCAGGGAACAACGAGCTGGGGTGATATGAGGCGCATGTACATATAAAAGGGATGCGATAAGGATAAAGAGATTAGATAACTGTTCTCTCTCTCTTTTTCCTTTTTTTTTTTTTCTTTCACTTTTGGAAGATTGAACGTTGGAGATTCTTCATTATCCACACGTTGGTTTTGCCGTGTCCCGAATGGGAACGAGGGAGGACAGTGGATAAAGGCTGCTATGGAAGCCCACCACTCGATCTCCTCGTATTCCTGCTCTCGATCTGTCAGTTCTTATAGGCCCACCGGCATTCGGCCCCCTGTTTTCCATACGGGACAGCACGGCCTTTAGCCTCCTTTCCCTGGTGAGGGGCTGGCCCGTGTCCGGCATCTTGAGGGGATGATAAAGAAAAAAAGCTTTGCTACATGGACCCAAAAAAAAGCTTTGCTACATGGACCCAAAATATGGGACCAATAAAGGGAACAAGTGAGGTGTCCCCATTCTATTGGATAATGAGTTGGTCATCATTAATGATTGCCAACTCATTATCCAATAGGAGGGAGACACCTCACTTGTCCCCCCTGTTGGTCCCATATTTTAGGCCCTTAAAGAATTTTTCATTGCATAATGAGTTGGCATGAGTTAGCATGGCCAACTCATTATGCAATAGGGAGAGGACACCTCACATGTCCCCTGCCTAAATATTTTCCTGCCTCCACCAATTTTAAGTGAGATTTTTTTTTTTTGAGATGACTAACCTGTGTGAACTCACGAGCTCACGCCTGTTTTAGTCGTGTGTCGGTGCGATCATCTTATCTTTTCTTTTCTTTTCTTCATCGTGGTTCCAAATTCTTTTATAGCTATAATAAGATAAGGATATTTTAGTTTAAAATTTAATTCACCAACTGAAAAAGGGATCGAGTCGATGTGATTTGATATTGTAAATAGAGGAAGTTTATCGGTCAATTGATAGGTATAGAATTAATTTCTGATTAGGGATTATCAATCCCGTGAAGTTTTATTCACCAATTTCAACCTAGTTTCATGAAACTAATTAAGTCGAAATTGCTAATTAAATTAGGACTCGATCGAAAATTGTAAATTAACATTTAAAGGGGTTGATTTTAAAATTTTGTCCTTTCTTTTCTTTTTAAAATACTAGGTTAATGTCCAAAAGAAGGATTGAATATTCGAAGCTACTGTAGAATATATATGGCTAGCTCTGGCATGGTCATCAGAAATAATAGAGGGAAGATTTTGTTGGTAGCAGCCGTCAAAGTGCAAGGTGGAAATGGTCTTTTAACAATTGAAGCGAGAAGCCTTTGAGGGAGCTTGAGGAGCTATATATAAGAAATTAAACAACTAGGTGCATATATAAATTAAGGAGCTATATATGAGAAATTCATCCAAAATTGAGGAAGGCACTTAGGCCCCGTTTGTTTTGAGTTTTTTGCCTCGGGGAGGGGGTGGAAAGCTGCCATTGTGGCAGCTTTCTCCCCAAAACGCCTCTTTAAGAGGCGTTTTGGGGAGAAAGCTGCCACAATGGCAGCTTTCCACCCCCTCCCCGAGGTAAAAACCTCAAAACAAACGGGGCCTTAGTCAGAAATGATCTCATATATAGAATAATATATACCTCTAAGTTTCTTCTTATTTTCACGTTGAAGGGACCCATAAGAATCTCTTGCTAAGATTGTGTCCGATATCAAAGGCATATACTTTTCAGCTTTAACTAATGTGTTCCCATGTGGAGGATAAGCTTCCATTGGGGCTTATCTTAGTGCATGGATTAGTTAATCTACTGGATGTATTAAATTAATTATGAGATAAGTATACTTGGGAGACAGATTGTTTGAAAATGATTAAGTAAAAGATTGGACTATTGGGAAAGTAAAGATTAGCTCTTGACTTTTCATGTTAATTATGTTTGTCATGATTGATTGCGTACTAGTTATTAAATGATTTTTTAATTAATTTTTTTCAAATTTGCGTTCGTTTCAAAGGAGGATCAACTTAGGTGGAAGTCATTTTAGGCTAGAGAAGAAGATAAGGGCTAGGATTGTATTGTATTATATATTCGTGAGATGAAAGCTTTGAGACAATAGTAGTGACATAAGATTGTTGAGAAGAACCGAATGGTGTGTTTGACAATCCTTGCAATACTGAGTCGGATCAATCTTGGCCTAGTTTTATTCTAAGGTAGTGTTTCTTTTCTAAACCAACTATCCCTTGGTCTAAAAAAAGCTAGTTTAGGGGAAACTTTTTCAGCCTAGAAAAAACTAGGCCAGTCTTGGCTTATTTTTTTTCAAACATAGTTCTCCCCAAAACGAGATTAGGTCTAAGCCTAGTCCCATTTGCAGGAGTTGCCAAACATGCCCAAAGCATAACTTTTGAATTGAGTAAGACTTTAACTGACATAAGCTTCTCATTAAATTTGTTCAAGCTTTTCGTAGAAAAAACACACTCACAAATATATTTTTTTGAAATTAGTCGAGGCTTTTGAAACATTTTGAAAAAAAAGAAGGTAAAGTTCACAAAACCTTTTCCTGAACTTTAAGGTATTTCACATAATTTTTCAGTGGACTCGATCCCTAATGATGTTAATGTCGCCGCTAACTTGTCAGTCATTATTTTGATGGCAAAACTTGTTGATCCGTTAGCACTCTTAAGAGATCCCATGGAAAATTTTGAAAGAATGGGGGACTTTGTAAAACGCCCCAAAGTCGAGAAAGATTTAGTAGAATAAAATAAATATTCAGAGAACCGCCACCGTAAAGTTTACAAAGATTGCAAAGAAGATTATTATCATTATGTAATTGGAACCATAACTAAGAATTCGAGGGTTAAATAGATCACGTCAGCGTATAACATAATTAAGTTTCTAAACAAGCCAAATTCCCTAATCCCGTCATAATGTCAGTGGGCGCGAGGTTCGATCACAGATGTAGCCATAATGTTAGATGATGAAACTATCTTATGAAAGAAAATATTATCTGCAATGCACGTAGCACATGCAGATCAGGTAGTTTATCAAGATATATGATCACAGCATTGCGGTTGGTCCATTTTCTTTCCGGCCTTAAAAACTTTATTGAAACGAGTACATGCGTGACGGTGATCAACATAGAATATTTTGATAGATCTAATATTTGAGATCTAAATCATAAAGCCATGATTAATTCAAAGAGATTAATAAGAATCAAAAGATACGAAAGCATATATCTGAATCCATTGAGGAAAACCTGATTAGGGTTTTGATGATCTTCTAACCTTAGAGTTTCTCTTGCCAAATTTCTCTCTAGATGGGGATGAAGAGAACTAAAGAATGTAATCCTAGATTAGGGACCATAACCCCTTATTTATAGGTGTTGTACATTTGTAATTTGGCCCCTCATCAAATTACAATTACAACATGGTATCTGCACATATAACCCCATAATTTATTTAAATACTCATTAACCCAAATTAATTAATCACTTTAGTGGGTTATCCTGAAGGATAGCAATACACACAGATTAATCATATGTGTCCACAAATAGATTTAATTAGATTTAAATCCAACAATCTCCCACTTGGATACCATATGACTCATTAAAGTGTGTATAACCTTATGAGCTCAAAACTGCTATCACTGTAAATGTATTTCCGAACAATCTTGTCCATTAACTATATCAATATAGGATCAAAGCGGCCTTTGTCACATTTATCGTGACTCGGCCCATCAATGGTCACATATACCAATATAATCAAATGACATAGTTCAATCATGGATGTGCATCATGAAAATTACATGCAATGTGATCAGTACATGTCTATTTTCAACTGGTCCTACTTTAGTGAGGTCAAAACCAAACATAATGTATCAGAGTGACTTAACTGAATACTTTATTCTGATCAGACAATACAACCAAACATAAAGCACTAAAAAATTACAAACTCCCACTAAATCATGATATCCTCTAATATCATCATACCCATGTGAGCGATGTGCTCATGAAATACCTTGGGTGGCAATCCCTTAGTAAGAGGATTTGCTATCATGGAGTTTGTCCCAATGTGCTCTATGGATATCTGTCCACTCTGTACCCTTTCTTTCACAACCAGGAACTTATAATGTCAATATGTTTTGACTTAGTTGAGCTCCTGTTGTTATTGGAATACATTACTGTAGATTTATTGTCACAATATAAACTTATTGGTCTTTCCATATTTTTCAGAATGCGCAATCTCGTAACAAAATTTCGCAACCATATTCTATGATTTGATGCCTCATAGCAAGCTACAAACTCTGTTGTCATAGTGGAGGAAGCTATGAGTGTCTGTTTAACATTTTTCCATGATATAGCTCCTTCTGATAACATATAAATGTAGCCTGATGTAGATTTTCTGCTATCTTGACATCCAGCAAAATCAGAATCAGATTACCCAATGACCTCCAGCTGTTCTGATTTTCTATATGTGAGCATATAATTTTTTATTTTCTGAAGATACATCATAACCCTTTTGACTGCTATCCAATGTTCCATACCGGGTTGCTTAAGTATCTGCCTAACATCCCAACAATGTACGCAATATCCGGACGCGTACATACCTGAGCATATATTAGACTTCCTACAGCCGAAGCATAACGAATCTTCTACATTACTGTAGTTATTAAATGAATTTTTAATTAATTTTTCAAATTTGAGTTCGTTTCAAATTAAAGGAGGATCATCTTAGGTGGAAGTCATTTTAGGCTAGAGAAGAAGATAAGGGCTAGCTAGGATTGTATTGTATTATATATTCTTGAGATGAAAGCTTTGAGACAATAGTAGTGACATAAGATTGTTGAGAAGAACCGAACGGTGTGTTTGACAATCCTTGCAATGCTGAGTCAGATCAATCTTGGCCTAGTTTTATTCTAAGGTAGTGTTACTTTTCTAAACCAACTATCCCTTGGTCTAAAAAAAAACTAGTTTAGGGGAAACTTTTTCGGCCTAGAAAAAACTAAGCCACTTGGCTTTTTTTTTCAAACATAGTTCTCGTCAAAAAAGAGATTAGGCCAGAGCTAAACCTAGTCTCATTTTAAGGAGTTGTCAAACATGCCCAAAGCATAACTTTTGAATTGAGTAAGACTTTAACTGACATAAGCTTCTCATTAAATTTGTTCAATTTTTTTGTAAAAAACACACACTCACAAATATATTTTTGGCAACTTGTCAGTCAT